CCCCCCCCGACTCCCACCCCTGAGCTGTCAGAATCGAGCCCCGCAGTCAGAACAGCCTCTAGGGCTGGCTGCGCACGGCGCCACAGAAGCAGGGTGGAGGCGCCACCTCCGGCCCCCCAACCCCCGCCACTGCCTGAACCCCGCTCTTGGGTGGAGGAGGGGAGCCATCGCGAGGCGGGGTGGGGAGGAGGGACGGTCCCTCGCCGCACCCCGCCCGGACTGCCGTTATGGAGTCCTCGCTCAGGCCTGCCACACCTGGCAGGGAAGGAGGGAGGAGGTAAAGTTTCGGCGCTGCCAGGAGCGAGGGCGGGTGTCCTCTCTCCCTCCGCTCGCTGTCTGACCCTTGCGTTAGGATTCCGGGATTCGGCTTTTCCTGCGTTTGTTTTGAAGACCTGTTGGACTCTCTCTCGGTCTGGCTGGGCGGCATCCTTTAGGCTTTTGAGTCCCCATCAGGCAAACTCCAGGCCAAGAGGCCGGGTCTGGCAGACGGATGGGAACTAAAGGTCCCTTTCGGCGCAGGCCACCGCCAGCACCTGTGCTGGAGGCCCTCCCAGACCTTGGTTTAATATCCAAAATCCCACAATCGCCGCGGGCAGCCGTGTGGGAGCTACACGGTTTTCCAGATGAGGCCCCAAGACCCACTAGCAGTGTCTTACTCACGGGTTACACATCCAGTTTTTTCACAACCCTTAGAATCTGAAACCACTCTGTGCTTTTATAGATTCATTGAAACAATCTACCCCTCTCTGCAAATAAACTCGAGGAGAGCTATCGTTGGGGGCATATCCCAGCCCCACGACTGCCAGCCGAGTAGCCCTTACCATTTGTTGCCGGGCAGCTAACGGACAAGGAGGCATCATAGTGTAGCTTCCTGCCCTCAGGATTCAGGACTAGGAAGCTTTCCAGGCCGATCCACTTGCCCTCTCCAACCCAGACAAGAGCAGAGTAGACAGTCCATGTGCAAGTTACTTCTCACTTGATTCTTCCATATTTCTTCCTCTGCAGCTATCAGCATCTTCTGCCTCACCACCTCTGCACAATCTTTAAGACTCAGAATAAATAAAAAATTTGAATGCCAAGGGAGGGAACATGTTGGAAGAGGCAGGAGATGTTTTTCCTAAAGTCTGTTTTCAAGAGACTGGGGTTTTTTGATTTAGGCTTCCTTCCATAAATAATTTATTAGTGCAGTAATAGTAAAAATAGCTTGTAAATACATGATACAGGGGTCCAGGTTGAATGTTCAGCACTGTGATGGTGCTAATAGAAAAGACCATATTTTTTTTTTAAAGA